TTGGAAAGTACCCAGTTTATGTTGACATTTTCAATTGGCTTAAAATTTAAATGAGTAAAAGCATGTTTAGTTACCTGGGTGTTATACTCAGAAATTGCATGCATAATTAATCTATAAAATTTTATTTTAAAATGTAAAAAGGTATAGTGATAAATTAATTAAAATAGTTTCATTTCTATTCTTTCCCTAAACATGATTATTATTATTTCTTTTGTTCTTTTTTATTATTATTAAACAACCAAACGCGGTGGGAGGTTATCACTATCTTTTCCATTCTTCACCTTCATAACTATTGTTATTCTCTCTTTTCTTTTTCACTGTACCAAATATATCCTAATGTTGCGTTTGGTGTACAGGAATGGAATGGAATGAGAATCATTCACTCTCATTCTATTGTTTGGCTATAAATATGAAATGCGTAGGAATGGAATGAGAATCATCCACTCTCATTCTATTGTTTGGCTGTAAATATGAAATGCGTAGGAATGGAATGATAATAACCATTCTAGTATTTGGTTGGACCAATTTAAAATTTAGAATGAAATAAATTTCAAATTGAGATCTTCAAAATATCCCTGTTAGTAAAAAATAAATTAAATTAACAAAATGACATTCTTCTATAATTTTTTAAAAATAAATGATGGTAGTGGCGGTAGTGGATGGTGTTGAGGTGGAAAGTGGTAGTTGTATAGGTAGTGGTGTTGGAAGGCGGTGGCGGTGGCAATGATGGAAGGCGGCGGTGTTAGTAAAAGGCAACAGTGGTGGAAGGTGGTGGCAAGAGTGTTGGTGGTTGTGGAAGGAGATAGTGGTGTAGATGGCGGTGGTGGAAACCAATGGAGATGACTGTGATGGTTGTGGAAGGCAGTGGAAGTGGCGGTGGTGGAATGTGGTAGCAATAGTGGAAGGCGGTAGCAGTAACAGTGGTGGTGGTGGAAGGTGGTAGCAGTAGTGGAAGGTGGTGGAAGGCGATAGCGGCGGTGGTGGTGGAAGGCGATGGCGATGGTGGTGGCAGCGATGGTGGCGGAAGGTGGTTGTGGTGGTGAAAGGTGGTGGCGGAAGACGGTAGTGACGGAGGCGTGGTGGTGTAAGACAGTGGCGGTGGTGAAAGGCGGTAGCGACAATGGTGGTGGAAGGCGGTGGCTGTGGTGAAAGGCGCTGGTGGAAGGTGGCGATGGTGAAAGGCAGTGGCGGTGGTAGAAGGTGGTGGAAGGCAATGGCAGTGATGGTGGCAGCAGCGGTGGTAGAAGGTGGTAGCGGAAGGCAGTGGTGATGGAAGGCAACTACGACAGTGGTGGTAGTGTAAGACTGTGGTGATGGTGGCAATGGTGAAAGGCGGTGGCGACAATAGTGGTGGAAGGCGGTGGTTGTGGTGAAAAGAGGTGGTGGTGATTGTGGTGGAAGGTGGTGAGGGTGGTGGTGGTGGAAGGTGGTGGCGGTGAAAGGCAGTAGTGGTGGTGAAAGGTGGTGGTGGTGGTGGCGGCGATGGTTGGGGCAAAAGAAGGCGGTGCCGATGGTGACAGGCGATGTCGGTGGTGAAAGGCAGTGGGTGGTACTGAAAGTCAGTGGCGGTGGTGAAAGGTGGTAGTAGTGGTGGTGGTGGTGAAAGGTGGAGGTAGTTGTAGTGGAAGATGGTGATAATTTTTGGACTTGAAACATGATGATTTTTTGGGAAGTTGATTTTTTTAAAAAAAAATTGACTTCGGAGTGGAATGGTCATTTCATAAGTTTAGTTGTGGAATGAATTTTTATTTAAATGGAGTGAACATTTCCACTTTAAATTGCATAATAAACAAAAGAATGATTAAACATACCAAACATAGTACAAAGGTAGAAAGTCGAGCCCCTAAACCACCATGCCATTCCTCTGTCTAACCCTCGTAGAGTGTTTGCTGATATTCCCACCTATGAATATGAGTAGATTGGTGGTGATATGGTTGGGCCACTTAGCTTTGTTTTTGTTTTTGTTTTTGTTTTTGCTTGTGCTTTTGGTTGGTAAAGGTAAGAGTTGCCCACTTATGACTTTGGTTGCACAGTTGTTTGGACATAGGGTATTATATACTCTATCCTTTTATGTAATTATTTAGGGTGCGTTTAATAACATTTTCATTTTCTATTTTTGCAGTCACAAAGAAACAGAAACATAATTTTGTTTTCGAAGTAAAAATAGAAAGCAAAAATAACGTTTAGTAACCTTTGTTGTTGCCACAATTTTAATAACAAAAAACAGAAAGTAGTATTTAGTAAAACATTTATACATATATATTAACAAAAAATCTGAAAACAAACAACAACCCATACATGTATAACAATCTAGAAAAAGGAGAAAAAAAAAAATATATATATATATATATATATATGTATATAGGGCGTACAGTTGTATAATGTATATATATAGAATATAAAAATATATTTTTTATATACATATATATTAACAAAAAATCTGAAAACAAACCACAACCCATACATGTATAACAATCAGAAAAAGGAAAAAAGAATATAATGCAAGATACTAGCAAGACTGATTCTCCTCCTAATCTGAAACAAAACAAAAAAAAAAACTATTAAATCCACAACACATACATGTACAACAATCAAAAAAAGGAAAAAAATAAAAAATAAAAAAATACGGGCAAGATACCATTCAAGTCTCAGATCTGTTGAATAGAGAAGAGAGAATGCGATACGAGGGCGTACCTTTCTGATAAGAGAGAAAGAAAGACGTGAGCCCTATGATGAAGAGAGAACAGTGAAGAAGTACTAATGGAAGAGTAAGTGATTAATATAAGAGTAAAGAGAAGAAGAAAGTACTAATAGAGTAATGTCAGTAGTTGTGTATTAATGGAAGAGTAATGTCAGTTGTTGTGTAAAAAACGAGAGAAACAGTTGTGAAAACGTTTCCTTTGCTAAAGTGAAAAAACACAAGAAACATCATTTTGATGTTTTCTCTTTCTTTCACAAAAATGAGAAATATTTTTCATTAAGAGAGAATAAAAACAAATTACTAAACATGATTTTTGTGTTTGTTTCTCCTTTTTAAGGATTGACAACAGAAAACAAAAAATGTTTTGGATTACTAAACACACCTTATATATCTCACCCTTACTTACCCAGAAAAAAAAAAAAAATGCTTTCACCAATTATATATCATTTATGTGATATATCATATATTTAACATATATTATATTATAATAAATAAAAAAAAGTTGAGTAATATATATTATATGTAATAAAATATTTAATGTATTATTACTAATATAAAATAAATAAAAAATATAACAAAACATAAATATTTTTGTCTCAAAAAATAATTGTACACTATTATATAATATATTATATAATAATGTAAAGTATATTATATAGATATATATAATATATTTTTTATTAAATAAAATATAATTTACATTATTATCTAATATATATTATATATTAAATATACATTTTTTTATTAGTATTTATTATGTAATACTAGTATATAACACGAATGACATCGATTTTGTTTTTGTTTTAAATGAACAGTATTTATGTAATAATAGTAGTGAAAACGTTTTAGTGTTATAGTGCCGAAAACATATGAAATACCTTTTTTATGTTTCCTCTTTTCTTTATAGAAATGAAAAATAATTTCGATTATCGAAAAATAAAAATATATTATTAAACATAATTTTCGTTTTTATTTTACCTTTTTAAGAGTAGACAACAAAAAAATAAAAAACATTTTCTGGTATTTAAAGCAACCTAAGATTATTAGAAAAACCATTAGTTGGTGTCACATAGTACCAGAACATTACCCCATAAATAAGTTTTGGTGTCACATAGTGGTAATTGAAAAAAAATAAAAATAAAAATAAAAAAATCCCATCCATTTGGTTGGTATGCCTACATATTTCAAATGTGGAAGATTCTTTAATTTATCCTCTCTTTTTTTCTTTTTGTAGATGAACTTAGGAATCATCCTTACATTTGTTTTAAAAAAAAAAATTGTAAGAATATTAGGTCTACTTAGTTTTTTATTTCTAAAAACTAAAATTTTAAAAGGCTCTTTAATCTAACTTGGTGGACAGTATTTGAAAATTATTTTCTAAAAACTTAGTTTTAGGGGGAAACAAAATTATATATATATATTTAGATAACCACCTTTTATAATTCTCTACAAATTACATTATAGTTTTTAAATATTTAAAAACAATTTTTTCTGAGTACAAAAACCAAGCAATCCTTTACATCTCATTATCACATATAATATTCTAATCTTCCCACGTATAGATGATGTTCCATTCTTTATTCATAATTTCCACCGGTATAACTACAAGACCACATAAACTAACTAATAGTCGCTTAGGTTTCTTGGTCAATTTCAAATCCTTATTGCGAATACTAATTCATTTCATTTGAGTTCCAATCTATTTGAATGAAAAATTTATTGAATGAAAAATATTAGACGAAACTGTTCAGTCTGAATGTCATAAATCCATATTTATACATCTTGACGAATACTATCACTGACACACACCATGCTTCTACATAAACAACAATTCTCAACCTTTTATTAATTGAGTTTTATGCATATAATAATATTAATTATTCCTTCCATTAATGCGGTGAGACAATCGTTCAAAAAAAACAATGTTCAAATTGAATCTATGATGAAAGAATCAATAATTATGCTCAATGATGTTGCTAAAATGAAAAAACATATTAGCATCAACTTAACCGTGTGAAGGATGAATCTGCATGCAAAGAGTTCTCAGCTTTTCAACCAATCAAATTAGCATACAAATTCACACTCAAAACTAAACCCATTTAAGAGAGAATCATCTTCCCGCTACAATTTTGAACATATCTTCAGTCAATTAAAACACTATAACATTATATGATCATGACTGAGACATACCTCATATGGAGAGCCAGTTTATACATACACAGTCGATTAACATATATAAAAAGGTTCAATGCAGATAACCAGGTTCAATGCAAATAGGAAGGCATATCTGAACTCAGGATACTCTAATAAGTTGATTATTTGGCCTATTCATTTCAACCATAACTTCCATAAACTATTTGAGAAATAAATAAACAGGTTCAAAGTAACGGCTATGTGACTACAGGAGCCGTTTGATTGCATCCACAAAGCATCAAATTGCACATATTGGCGTATACCGGTCTGCATGTTCAATTCTATGCCTACCATCTCCTACCATTCTTGAAGCACCAAAAATATAAGACCTCTTAATTAATTACAAAATCATCCTACAGAAACCAATAAAGTTTCAATCTAGTGTTTAACTCTCTGTGAACGAAGCTTAACTATGATATCTCAAATGCCAAAATCTCCAATCTTCCTCTGTCAATGTGATGTTTGTCGGAACTCAATGAATTGGAACTAAGGGAGTGGATTTTATATTAAGTACTTGCCGGGAAAAAATTAAACCATGATGTGTAGTCTTGTTTTAAAAGATTAACAAAAGGATATAATTCCCCTCCTTTAAGCAGACTTCTAGAAAAAAATGTTGACTTCCTTTTCATTCATCTCATATACATGGTCTCTTGCATCTGTTAGAGCACTCTGCGTGATATTAAAGTTAATTTTAGCTGTAGCCATCCAATAGAAATGAACCTAAACACAAGAAATAACGGAAAGGACAAGTTAGAAAACAAAAGAATGATAATGCAGTATTACCTGCCCCAATTTGGTGAGGAAATTGCTGGCAAGGTTTACCGATGTGATTTTCACGTCTTCATTAGCCTTGAGTGCTTGAGCAATAGCAAATGCACCTTCATCCTGTGTTCACAAAAAACAGAGTGAAATGGTGCAAATAAGCTACTGTTTCATGAGCAACGAATTCTGAGGTAAAATAAATAAAATACATACTCTTATTTCATTAAATGCTAAATCAAGTGAAGTCAAAGCTTCATTAACCACTTTCAAACTGCGAGCCAGGCAGATGGCACCCTGCAAATGCACATGACATATGAAGGAAAAAAATAACCTAAAATTTGAGTAACCAATATGATCCAAATACCTTAGAAAGAAAACATCATTATTAATAGGAACAAACCTCATCTCTAAGTCCGTTTGCACGCAAGTCCAGAGTTGATATGGTAGTATTGTACTTCAAGGTATCTGCGATGAACTCTGTACCCTTTGCTCCGATCTGGAAGATATTCCCATATACGTTGTAATTGAAATCTTTAAAACTGCCTAAAGAAAATAAATTTTAAAAATTACCTGGCACCAACCAAGGTTGAGGGTTTTTATCTTTCCATGAAACTTAAGAACTTCAGATAAAGCCTTTGCTCCATCTGGTCCAATGGGATTATAACTAAGTTCCAACTGAGATAGAGATGGGAAGCTAAGGTTGTGCATCATTATTTCCGGAAGTGAATATAATTAAACAAAAAAGGTAAGAAAACTTTAAATTGGTAGTATAGCACTCACAATAACAATTATATTATTATCTTTCAAAACCTGAGCTATGTCACTGGCCCCCTTAGTATGGATGTTATTCCCCCCCTGCAATAATCCACTATTCAGCGTCTCCAGAAATGGTTTGTTAAATAATATTTTTGAAAACTAAGGTTTGCTACCAACAGAGATGATTACAAAGAGGCATTCCTCTTACCAGATCTATGGCTGTTATTGTGCGGTTCTGCTTCAAAGCCTCCGCTATTTTCTCAGCTCCCTAGTAAATTCCAGGAATGAAAATCAATAAACAAGGTATGCGAGTATGAGAGTTTGACAGGTTTGGACCTTTGCTAAACTAATCTGACCAGCTAGGTCAAACTCTGTTTATTTCATTCCCAGATTCTAATTTTGAGAAATTCTAGACAAACAAAAAGAAAAGGGGATACTTCTTCTATTTTCCTACATTGCAAATACAAAAGCCTTTCAAAATTGAATGCTCTCTCTGCTTGTGCAAAAGAGGTAAAAAAAATTAAAGGATAGATAACTATATATATATATATATATATATATATATATATATATATATATATATTCAGAGGATTACAAATACTTCAAGTTTGGTTGGCAATAATAGGATTGTGAAATTTCTTTAATTTACCTTCATTTCTTAGTACCAAATGGAACATAACGGAACATGAATATGATATCAGATCCAATTTTTTCTTTCATGAACCCGGGTCTTCTATAGGAGTCTCTCTAAGAAAATTGCATTAACCATTTCTAGCTCAACTTAGCAAAGCCTCGTTAAAATATGTTGGGCCATGTATTTGGGTCGGTCCCTTTTCACCACCTACTCAATTGATAGCCTTAGTTTTGGTTAAACTATACACAATTAAGTCTTAACCAAGTACCACAACCCATTACAAGGTTGATCTTTTCCCCTGCACTCTCTACACCCCAAAAATGCAAGGTTACAGCCAGGTGAAAACAATATGAATTGACTTATATTGATGCTCCTATTAATTTTGATACAAATTTATGAACAAATCCTTAAAAAGAAATGTTAAAATTGTTTTCTTTCTTCCCAATTAAAAAAGAATATTAGGAGAATAAGTAAGGTCATAATAATGGAAATAGATATAGAATAATCTAAATCAAGACAACCAGTTAAGGGTTAATTGAAAATCAATATTCATTCCAAGTCTACGACAAAAATCTTTAACTACAGAGGATATCAATACCTCATCTCCAATGTCATTCATGTAAAGGTTCAATGAAAACAAACTCTTGCTTCTCTTGATGTATTCAGCAACATGGAAGGCACCTTTGGAGCTAATTGCATTGTTGCCAATGTCTAGAAGAACAAGTTTCCCTGAAGAGCATGCATGCATGTTACATTAACTGCAATACAAGAAAATGCAGTGTCCTTGCCCTGGTTTGGACATGGGTGTGCATGTATTTGCATGTATTATTAAGCAAACGCATTACTATTCAACACAAATGCGCACGCACACACTACATACATGACCCCATAAATATAGAAGTTCAAGCAATAAAGCATGGAATAGAAGCGTAACAACTAGAATAGCAGATTTAGCAAAAAAACAAACCTTTATGCGAAGATAAACCAGACATCAAAGCACGAATTCCTTCATCTCCAATAGAATTTCCATGCAAATGAAGTTCCTGAACACATAATTTAGCTATTAGTTGCACAACCTATCAAAGGGAACAACAAAGTTTTATCTATTGCAAACACATAACTATACAAAATATCATTCTGTGACGGATAAGTAACATAAAAGATAAATATATGCCTTATCTCTAGTTAGCCACAATGCCTGTCACGCTTTAAGAAGCCCCAATACTTAATAATGAAGAACATTTCCACTCACTAAGAGGTTATTATTCAATATTCAGTTCTTCATCAAAACGTCCATGCAGTTTCTTCTTTTTACCTAAATTCCACATAGTTTCTTCACTTGCTAAAAACTGTCATCAGTTATCCCTGAGGGAGGAGGAGGAGGAAGCAGGAAGGTGTATTGCGAATGTAAATCAAACCAGAAAGTAGAACTGAAGGGCAGCAATTTCTTGCAGAAGAAAGATACTTAGGTTTATATTCAATTCATCCCTCCCACCATTGTGCAACTCCCAAATATGCTAATATAATCAAACCAAGAAGCCAACTTGGTGGCCTCCACCGATCGCCAGCTTGAAGGGCCTTAAAAAGTTCAGCAAAATCCTTCTTAATGATATTTTTTGTTCTTCTCATATGTCATTTGCATCACGTTTTTTATATCAATCCGATTATAATACTGAAACTCATATTCCAAAGATTTATATTGTCACACCAACAAAGAAATCACCAAAAAGCACAAGGAGGCCCAAGCAGGATAAGGGCAGTGTACAAGTAATTAAGATATGCTTATTATAAGTTAATTGAATTCCAGCTGCAATGGCTAATGAAATATGAAGATTCAAAAGTACTTAGGCACTTGTCCTCAAAAGTACTTAGGCAACAATAAAGATAAAGCCTTAACTGATTAAAACTTCCTTGGGAGTTAAGGCTCGTGAACCTTATAAAAGAGCCAAGAATATTAACAAATATTTCCCCATCATTCCTCGAAACAACACTAACTCATATCCGCCACCAAAATAAAGATCTGATCAAAATGTATCAGCCTTGTAAGCCAAAGAAGGAAAGAATAGTGGAGTATGACAAACAGGACATGAAGTGGTGATAGTAGAAAGCATTGAATTTTTAAAAGTTGATAATTCAAATATCCATCATGATGTAATCATTTTGAAACTTTTAAATACAGAATATTACAGAGTTCTGTTTCAGTTTCTAGAAGCCAACATTTAACAAACTACATGGCACAAGTGCCGCACAACTAGTTATTGCATTCAACTACACTTCAGATGTATGGTTTAGATGGTAAACATCGTCCACCATCACTAACAAGTCAATTTGCCAGTCCATTTGGACATTAAAAACTAGTTCACCAGACCTCATTCATACTACGTTTTCCATATAAAATTAACATAAATGTCCTTTCACTGGTCAAAAAAAAAACCTGAAGTGACTGCAATAAAAAAGGAGGTGGAAGACAACGAGATATGCACCTTCAAAGATTTGTTACCCTCAAGCCCTTTTGCCAGAGAACCAGCCCCCAAAGCACCACCATAATTACCACTGAAACAATAACAAAACGTCATGAGTCACAAAAGCAATAAAATGAAAGCAAACTGTCAAAAATCATTATATTAGATTTCAGGAACAGAAGAAATATATTAGCCAATTTGCACATAATAAACAAGAGATTGCGCTATGAAAATAGAGGAAGAAATAATACAACAAATTCAAGAGTTTTTACTCACTTGAGAGACATATTTTGTATTGTATTATTCTCAAGAAGTGCTTCAGCAAGACTTGTGAATCCCTACCTCCATTTCCAAAGTAAAATACATAAACAGAATTAATTCTTCAAATTTGTCTAATGATTCAATCTCAAATGGTAAAAGTTCAAATACTTAAATCTCAATTGCATACAGAAAAATCAATCGTATTGTTGTTAAGTTCAAGAACACGCAAGCTTGAATTTCTCTTTAACATCTCAGCAATAGCTTTTGCTCCCTGCACAAAAAAGCCAGAGATGCTTGGGGTTGATGAAAATCGCAAAATAGGAGCCTCTGGTTAATCATTTGAATTTTGGATGCGGATAACCATACTGAACAGAACACTAGTAGATGCTAAAGGAAACTAACCTCATCCCCCAAGTCAGTACTGTTCAGTTGGAGCTTCTGAATACCAGCATTATCCACAAGTATATCACATAAGATCTGTGAAGAAAAAGAACATGTTATATGACATAATACTCAAAGGGTAAGGAATTGACAAAATATAAGCAGCCGAATGATGACAAGAAGATAAATGTAAGCCCACAAGGAATTCCGATCCAAAGTTGATCAATCTTTTATTGTTCAGTGATGAGAATGAAGTTGAATATAAATAAAACCTAAGAAGCATTCTGTAAAGACAGCAAATTAGATGTAATATACAAAACATTGACAAGAAGATTAGCAATGACAAACTAATAGCATATTACTTAAGTGGACCCCATGCCCCCACATAATCCCATTTAGCTAAGAAGAAAAATAACACCTTTTAAAATTACTTCAATCTATATATAGTCCCAATACCAAATGATTTCGTCCTTCTTTTATGAATGGTCAGTTGAACCCATAATCCCACCTTCCATTTCGGATGCCATGCCAGCCCTTAACCTTTATGCTCTAATTGTTTAGGCCTCAAAAGATTTCATCCTTTATTTAAGAATGGAAGGAGGAACAATTTTTTTCCTTTTCATTTTGTTATTATTATCTTTTTCTTTTTGTTTTGGGGAAGACGCAATTTAAATTGCTCTAAAACTTGGGGACGTATGAAGGAACAAGATCCCTTGTTAACAAAAATTTTGGATCTAAACCATCTGCAGCAAGTGTAAGAGATCTATCCGCACAGAAATGTCAAACTTGAAAGAGACCGACATCTAACGGAAACAATCATTCAGGTACACTGGTATAAAAGTTAAAAACCATTTGAGGACTTTGTGAGTACTTATGCTACACATGACAAGTGAAGCAACATAGCATGTGCACAAACACATATTGATGGAAAATCTTCCAATATCTCAAAATGGAATATCATATTCCTCAAGAAAACAAGTATATTGACATTAAACATAAATAATAACGCACTTGGACTGACCTTAGCTCCTTCGTCTCCAATTGGATTTCCAGTTAAATTAAGAGTCTTTAGTACAATGTTTGATTGAAGAACACCTTCAAAGGCTTTTAATCCAGCTGAGGTTATTCCATTGGCAGCAAAATTCACTTCCTCTGCACTCTGAAAATCATGTAGGATATGTTTGCAATGGAAAGCAAGATTGCTTCAAATTCTTCAGTGTAAGTAAGAAAACTGAGCACATACAGAAACTATATTCAGCAAAGAATCACATGTAAATTGTTCTCTATTTGCAGTTCTTCTCACGTATGCAAGGCTTCTGCCATTTTATGTTCACAATCAAGAGAGTTCTTGATGAACTTAATTAACAGCAAGAATAGACATGTAGTTGTAACAAATAACAATAATGATGAAGATGGGAACACCAAAAAACATAAATTCAAAAATATATATATATGATTTAACCTGATTGTATGCTAAGCTCTCGGCAAGGAAAAATAGTCCCTCGTCTCCAAAGTTACGACCTGCCAAAACCTTGTTGTATTGTCAAACTACATAATATGAGCGTTGATTAACTTTGCAGCCACAAACTACTGATATGGAAAGTTGAAAAGGATCTCGGTGACAGCATTTCAGATACCGAGAAACCCAGACTCAAAATAATTGGTAAGCAAACTGATATTAGTAAATTTGATATTTAGTTGTAGGAATCCAAATTTGGGTATCAATTAAGAAACTTTACTGAAAAACACAAACAATTCTAACTAATAAGCCTTTAAGTTCTCCATAACTATGTTAAGTTTAAGCAGCAACACCTAACTAATGCAGCATCTCACGCCAATTTATTCTTTGTTACCTGACATGTCTACACTTCTGAAAGACCTAAGTTCTTTGGCAAATTCATTGAGCTTCTGCTTGGACTCTCTGTCAATCTTTGCACCACGACCTGGTAATAAATTTGTGCCAGCGGCAAAGGACCATTTCGTTCCTTGGGAAGAAGATTGATTTTCCACTGACGAAGGCCTTGATGGTTTTGGCAGAAGGACTTTCTCCACCAATTTCCACAAAACTGCCAGCCGAAGACATAAATTAGCACAGCCGTCCATAAATTAGCACGGGCATGACAATTCATTATAGCACTTCCAGAAAATCAGTGTATTTAGATGTAATAAAATCAATCAAGTTAAGAAATAACAGCATGCTTCCTAACCAGAAATTAGAAAAAGCACAGCAGCATGCTTAAGGAGATAACATGCACATCTTGACCAACACATAAAAAGCACAACAAAATGCAATACCATGGCAAAAGCACACAAAATTAAGAAATTTACTTAAGATGGATTTTTAACAATTAACTAGCAACACAGTGACAAATGAACGAATGCATGGTATTTTGGGATACTCTTATGACAAAAACCATGAACCAAGAAACAATCACGAGGCACGTCAAAAAAACAAGCACCACATAACACAAAGATTTAGCGCGGTTCAACACAAGTTGTGTCTACTTCCATTGTGAAGATCTGGCGAAGGTTTCACTATGCAAAAATCAAGAGATTACAAGTTTCAGCCCCCAAACTCTGGCTCTCTCTGTCACCCTCTTTTCTATGATTTTCAGCCTCTCAATATTCCACTCCAAACCCTAAACCCTCTTATATCTCGAGCTATGAGAGAGTACTAAATAGGATCCACGATCTACATGTAAAAAAAAAAAGGTCGAAACCGGGTACCAAATTCGGGCAACATCATCACAGATACCTCCAAGGGGCAATGAAATGCAAGTAAGAAGCTTGTTAAATCGGATACAAAATGAAATCCAGTAGAAGACACAAGCATAACTATTCACCAAACACAAGTCATGGTATCTTATAATGAGAAACTTCAGATGGTAACAACTAATTTCAGTTTTGTGATGCTTCAATTCCCTATTATTCTATACCTTATTCGTGCAATTTAATAAAATCATTATAGCAAAAAGTCAAATTGAAACTATTTAAACTTTATATAGAATTACATAAATTAGAACAAAAACTTATATAATAAGATAAAAGCCACTAAAGGAGAAGAAGAATGCACCTACAAGAAGCAATGGTGCAAACTTTCTACATTAATGGTACACAACAGCTCAGTTTAATGGTACACAAGAAATACATATAGTAGCAAAAAAATTATATCTATTTTGCATTAGTGGTACACAAACAGCTCAGTTTATTCAAATTAACTAGAGAAGTTCCAATTGTTTCGGATCATCTAATCCTTCGCAAACGTACTGAAAACGTTATAATTGAAAATAGTATTAATAAAGAGACAGAAACTATACCAAATGTAACCACAACGAACACACCGGCCGGAACAACGAAGGAAGCAATCTCCTTCACCGGGACGGCAGACAAAGGCCCTTGGCCTTGAGATTCCTTATAAACCCTCCGACCACTCGCCGGTCGCCTCGAACCACCGTCAGCCCTAGACGAAGACGAAGCAGCAGCAGCTCTGACGACCAAGCTTTTGAATCTGAAACATCTTCTTCTATTGATTTGGTATGATACAGTAGTAGCTAAATTCACACGAGGCGCAAAATAGCCCGAGGAGTTGATCAACACTTTGCGCCGCAATTCGTGCTTACTTTGGTGAGCTCTGATCGAAACCTGAGAAATCAGAAAGAACAAAAGTTCAGAGAGAGAGAGAAGGAAGAGTATGTTGTTTATGTGTATGAACGTTATTACCTTTGGATGAGAATAGAGAGAGAGAGTCGAAGTCCAGCCCATAGATATATACAGAAATATAGAGAGAGAGGGAGGGAGGAAGAGAGAGAAACTTTAGAACAGCATTGTGGTGTTGGAGGTTCTTATCCTGCGCCTATTGACAGTAGAGTTGAGAGACTTGTCGGACACTTTGCTGAGAACGAAGGGAAGCAGCTAGAACGGCGCTTCTCAGTCTCAAATGAGGGTCCGGTGCCACCCAACATTGAAATTGGGCTTAGGTTAGAATTTCTAAGGGCCAACCCACGCAGAACTTAGTGACCTAGTAGATACAATCCGACCCGGATTGCTAGTCCCCATTTTGGACTTGCCAATGGACACAAGCGAATGCCGTATGTCGGGATGGCAATGGGGCGGGGATCTCATTTTCCATCCCTATTTCCATCCCGGCTTAATTTTTTTTATCTCCATAACCGCTCCAAAACCTATCGAATTTTTCAAAGGAACTCCCATCCTTATCATTATTTTCATAATGAGTTCCTCTAACACAACCCTAAATGGAGCGAGGCCCATCAGGGTGGGAATTTTTGTCATCCCTTTATAGAAACGTAACATATTTTAGTAATATATCATAGTATACAAGAGTAATTTAATAAATTTATAATATATTCGGGACCGGGCAACTATCCCCCGAAACCGCCCAAAACCCGTAGTGTTTTTCAAAGTAACCCTCATCTCTGTCCCCATTTACAAAATTAGTTCTCCAAAACCACCCCCAACGGGGTGGGCCCCGTCGGGGTGAGAACTTATGATATCTCCTTTTTAAATGGGTCCACAAATACTTAGTGGACCAATTCAATTCAGACTATTCGATTAAGAAAATGGTCCCACAAAATTGTATTAATATATTACAAAGAAATCTCAATAACAATCTAGATTTAATTGGTCTACCACGTATCAAATGGACCTGGATCATTTAATAATTTCTCTTAAAAAAAAAGTTATGAATTCGAGCCCTACATTGAGGATAATATTGTTGGTGTAGTGAGTACGTTGAAATATCAATAGGTGAGCATTACCCTATATGATATGATCTCTCATCTCTGTCAGAATTGTATGATTCGTCTTCTTTAGAAGGGTGGTTGGAATTTGAATACTATATCGAAGATAGTATTGTGAATATATATTTTTGCTTGAACTTTCGGGCAAAAAATATATAGTTCACATGATATATGTGAAAAATTGATAGTTTAATTACTAAGCTTGATCCGATTAAAGGATTTGAAATGAATTCATCTTTAACCGTTCAAAGGATCATAATATAAATTTGGAGTGATTATGATCTCTCGTCTCTGAAAGAATTGTGTGATCTCTCTTCTTTAAAAGGAGGTTGGAATTTGAATCCTATATCGAAGATAGTATTGTGAGTGTATATTTTTGCTTGAACTTTCAGGAAAAAATTATATAGTTCACATGATATAAGTGAAAAAATGATGGTTTAATTACTAAGCTTGATCCGATTGAAGGATTTAAAATGAATTCATCTTTAACCGTTCAAAGGATCATAATATAAATTTGGAGTGATTTAGGTTTAAGTTTTTAACACTAATTTTAAAATTTTAAATTATGAATTTCAAATAACAAGATCAAAGGAGTTATTTAAAATCCATGCTCACAAATTATCTAGTCACACAATGGCGGTAATAAAAAAAATGTGTCTCACACATCTAAGAGCATCTCCAGCGGTCTGTTAAAATATTATTTTGTGTAAAATATATATTGTCACTTATGATGTATAAATTTTTTCTATCTTCAGCAGTATGTTAAGATACATTGCCATATTACCAATGTGTAAACGAGTTGTGTATTTTACATAATCTTTTTACACGGCCAGATCAACATATTTCCTTTCTTATCCCCCTTTCTCATTCCATTAAAGAATCAATTATATATTAAATAGGTTTGCAAAAGTTATGTGGGTCCTGACATGACACATGGTTAGTTGTTTTTGGGAGATATATTTTAACACAAAAGCTATAAAACAACTGTTGGAGCTAAAATTAACTAATCTAAAATTGTTATGTAAATCCATCATGACACATCAAATTTGCACAAAAAAATATACACAACGATTGAAGATGATCTAAGTATAATATCTTTTAATTACAAGTTTTTGTTTAAACTCAAATTCATTCATTATCTGAAGTTAAAAGTTAGTTACATTTAAGAGCACTGAATCGGGCAATTTAAATTTTGAATTAATTTTCTTTTAATTTCAAATCTAAATTGTGAATTTGGTATTACAAAACACTACAATGAGATTCTTAATTCCAACGATGATTCCACAAGACAAGATCCAAGGTGAGAAATTGACTGGAGTGGAGCTAAAACCGGGCTCAAATTTCTTCAGGCACTTACTTGACGTCCATAATTGCATGGAAATTAAAAAGTCTCAACAAACTCAAGGCCTTCACAAAATAGTCCAACACCTCTCTCTCCACAAATGTTATCCATTTCATTCCTTTAATCCCTCTCTTCCACTACATCACTTTCTCACCTCCTTCTATGTCATCCACACTCACCAAATTCCTCAAACCACCAAAAGCTTAATTTAATTTCTCTCATTTCTATCTTCTTCGATCAAGACCTCCCAAACCATGGCTTTACCTTCCTTCCTCCTTTCTCTTCTAGTCCTTCCATTCCTCACATTGCTTCCTCCAACACAATCACAACTCGCCGTGGACTACTACAACGAGACATGCCCGAAATTCCATGACATCATGGATCAAGTTGTTGCAACCAAGCAAATAGCATCCCCCACCACCGCAGCTGCCACCCTCCGCCTCTTCTTCCACGACTGCATGGTGGAAGGATGCGACGCCTCCCTCCTTCTCGCCTCCAACGCCTTCAACATAGGCGAGAGAGACGCTGACATCAACCTCTCCCTCCCCGGAGATGCCTTTGACGTCATCACACGTGCCAAAACCTCGCTCGAGCTCCAATGCCCCGGCATTGTCTCCTGTGCGGATATCCTAGCTGTCGCGGCACGTAACCTCGTCACCATGGTCGGCGGTCCCTTCTACAGCGTCCGGCTAGGACGAAAAGACGGCCTAGTCATCACGAAGGCCTCAATGGTGGAAGGCCACATTTCTAGGCCTAACATGTCCATGACAGATATTATCAAAATTTTTGACTCGAAAGGGTTCACTACAGAGGACATGGTGTCATTATCTGGTGCACATACAATTGGGTTCTCACACTGTTCTCAGTTCTCTGATAGAATCTTCAACTTTAGTCCGACTTCACAAATTGATCCATCTCTGAACCCTAATTATGCAGAAGGGTTACGTAAACTGTGCGCTAATTACACAAAGGACCCAACTGTATCGGCCTTTAACGACGCGATAACGCCAGGCAAATTCGATAACATGTATTACATAAACTTGCAGAGAGGGTTAGGGTTGTTGGCATCTGATCAAGCCCTAGCTTTGGACCCGAGGACAAGGCCGCTTGTGGATTTGTATGCAGACAATCAGGCTGCCTTCTTTGAAGGCTTTACTCGTGCAATAGAGAAGGTTAGTACATATAAGGTGAAAACTGGAACGGAAGGAGAAGTGAGGCATAGATGTGATGCTCTGAATTCCATAGCAGCAAAACAGTGATACACATTGTTCGGATTGCGATTAAAAATACCAGAAAAGAAGTGCTGTTATTGTTTAGGATGAGTACAGTAGGATAATGAAATGGTGACAAAGTTGGTGAAACTAATATTGTAACCTTCGTCACTATGATAGTTTGTGTTTCTAATGTTTGGCATTTCTTGCCATATTTACAATGATAAGCTAATTTAAAAGAGGTAATAAAGAAACTCACATTTATGTAATCCTGTAACCTTTTTGATGTAATACATTCACATTAAATTCTAGCTTCCACCAATAAAATGCATTCGTACCAGTAAAATTTACATTGCAGCAATAATAATAAGCTACAAAGACTGAGTTTGACTAATGAAGCAAAATGTGTAACTAAGAAGATATTCCAGACATGAGCACAAGCACAAGCACAAGCATGGCAACAAGTTCATCATCTTCCAAAATAGACGCCTAGCGACAGAGAACAGATTAATGGGTGACGAACAATCAATTACAAAAACTGATAGAAGCATTTAGACCCCCAGTCATTCAGAAGCTCCAACTATGTGACATCAGTTAATTAATATACACAGTTTAACCTTCATTACAGTGTCAAAACCAGCTCGGGAGCACATTGATAAAAAAAAAAAAAGCAACCATATCCCCTGGGATGATGAGCCGGGAAGAACCTAAACAAGGAAAAACATCATTCTCTACTTCCTAAAATCTCCAGTTAACTACAATGAACGAATCTTCAACGTGTTCATGGGAAAATCAAAGTACCCTCCAGCTAGTTTAAACGGCCCCTACATTTCGGTGGGCAGCAGAAAATATGATTGTACACTCAAAAAACACACAAGCAAAGAGTTTACCAAAAGAACTCCATGAATAGATTATGCACTTTACAGGTATGATCCTTGCAAATACTAGGAAAAAGACAATAGAATGAACAACCCAAAAAGTAGAATAAAAAGAGGAAAGAATTTTACAATAACAGTAGAAGACAACAGTTTGCATGCTTGATGCCCCTCTGCCAGAACTAGGCATTCAACTTCATCCAAGAATAAAGCCTGGTTCAGGAATCACATCGTCTCATAATTTTTGCTTGCATCGACTTGAAGTACTGCAACAAACTCACGAATGCAGACAGTAGACCCAACAATTTTAGCTGGTTTACACTTCCCCATTCTTCTTGAGGAGGTTGAATCCTAGGGTAGAGTAAACCAATTGTCAGCATTGGATATTTAACATGAGAAGCCTATGACAGAAGTCTCACCCCATTTAGCAAGGCTTCCTCTTGTCCACCTTTAAGTGAATATTGAACCATTTTTTCTTCTTTGGTCTATCCCTGGTAGACCTCTTATCTCTTGCTTGGCTACCTTCTTTGTCCTCCTTCGGTGCACTTCTACACTTGCTCTTACTGCTACTCCGCTTGATTGGTGGAGTAGCTGTGTATGAGGCATGAATTTCACTCCTTTGCTTAAGAAGCTCATCAATCTGCAAAACCAAACATGGAGCAGGAGTCAAGCAAGAAATCAGTGTTTCAGAAACTATGATGGACTCCCCAAGATTGAGTTAAAAGTTTTTAAGCTTCAAATCACCGCTTGCATTTCGTGTGCATATCTACTTGTCATCTCCGTAAACTGCGCCAGGACCTGTATACATACCACATGAAATAAGAAAGAACTCATATAGATGACATGTAGTGCTAATTGAAGTCCAAACCTCTCTGTACTCGGTTTCGAACTTCGACAGGTCCACCCTTTTGGATAAAATCTGAGATTCCACGGCTCTAAGCTTCTCCTTTTCTTCTGAAAAGGGGGCTGCACAAAGAGCTTCTATTGTGTAGTTTACACTTTTGAAAAAATTGTCACCTAAGAAATGCGTCAAAACATCATGAGAAAGCACCACTTAGGTCCGAATTGCATAATCAAGAACACAAGGAACCCTGACTAGAGATAAGTCAAAGAAATTACCATAAATAGCAAACACATGGGTCCCAGCTTTTAGTTCAGTTACTTCGCATGGTTGAAATCCGTCCAGTTTTTTGAAGAACACTGTGTCTTGATCTTTTGCAGCTGCCATCTGAAGCTCACACAAGAAGAAACCAATCACAAATTGAGGATTTAGAATGAAGTTGAAACTAAAAATTGACCGAGATTTATTATAAATTATTAACTCACTGAATTCATTGTTTGGTTCAAGCGATAAACAGGAAAACCAAGAAAATACATTCCAGCAGATGTGACCTTCCCCGTTTTTGCACTATCCTCCTGCAGCAAAAGTAAGTTAGATGTAGGTTGAAGAAAAGCAATTACAGTGGCTCTAAATTTATGAGAAAAACGCTAAGGTCAGAAGGACTGGACATAAAAAATAAGGAACATTTTTTTCGATAAGTATAAAAAAACAAGGAACATTAAGATGCATTTTTGTTGAGCACCATGAGAGAGTGCCATTTCCAATTACCCAAACCAAAATTGAATTTCTAATTTCTTTCAAGGGGACAAACTCAACTCAACAAAGCCTGTACCAAATTTTTTGGAAACGGCTACATTAATCACATTTAGCATTCCACAAAAACAAACCTCCATTTAACTTGCTTCGATTTCATGATTGACATCATCTCCAATTTCACCCGCTTTCTGAATAATCAAACCTAGTAACGGAATGCTCACTTTTTGGTACCACTTAATTGCCAATCTTCAGTACTTCTCCACTTTTATATCTAGCTTTGTTAAAATAGCATTCCATATTATATATACATGGATGAATGCGTGTATGTATGCATGCATCCTTGCATTGACTTCTACCATAGTTGTTCCAATTATACTCACAGTTTATCATACATGTTCTTTACTATGTCAAATTGTCAATATATCCATTTCTGACTCCATTTTTTAAATTATTATATCTCCAAAGTCCCAATTAGAAACTTCCTCCATATCTTTCCATTAGCGTTCACAGTTTGTAAAGAGCTCCATTGTTGACCTCCCAAACATCAACCCAATTTGATTTTCCGACACTGTCACTTCACATTTCACTCATTGTTCACATCATGATTCATTAATTGGATACCCTGATTTAAAAAAAAAAAAGAAAAAAGGAGGTAACACTGTAGTTACTTTAATAATGATAATTGAAATTCTTATGCCTCCGGCCTTTAGTTTATTTTCCATGGATTGGAGTGATCCTTTAAAATCACAATTACATAAAAAATAAAAATAAAAAACAAGAAGCATAAACCCATGAACTGTTCCTAAATATGCCCACTAACTAGAATGGTTAAAAAAGGAAAAGGGAGGGGGGGGGGGGGGGGGGGGGGGGGGGGTGTTCATACTTTTAACTGTTCATATAGGGTTGTAATTTGAAAACCACTTGAGATCTCCCATAAAAGTTATAGTGCTAGTCATTGCAAAAATTATGCCAATATGTAATCCCTTTGACATAAAAAATAATTTTCACACACACACAAGAAGACGTTACCCAGTTCTAGTCCAAACTCCCAACTAGACAGACCTAACCTTTAGTATTTCACAAAGTGCGCACACACACATACACACACAAGAAGACATTACCCAGTTTTAGTCCCAACCAGACAGACCTAACCTTCAGTATTTCACACGGTGACTCCGCTGAGGCTTGAGTTCATGGCAGTGGCACCGTTGCTCGAATGTTTTACAATTGAACTAGGCAACGACCCTCATTTAATCCCTTTGACATCTAAAAGGCAATCACATTGATTATCTTATATTCTTTATCTAAGTTAAAAATAAAATCACTTGGATGCTCTTTCTCATCACCTCCCCAAATATAGCCTAAGTAGCATTCAATGTGGTTTCAATGAAACCAAATTTATATCAATAAGTTTTTAACAAAAACACATGGATTTTAAAATTAAATTTAACTGAACAAGTTTTTTTTTTTTATTTTTTTTTCAGAAGATAACTGAACAAGTTTGAAATCAAACCAAATGAGTTTTAAAACCATCATAGATAAAGATTTACAGTATATTTTCATTTTCACAGTATCTGTTAGTGGTTCTACATTTAAAATTAGAGCTTCTGCAAGATAATGGAAGGAGACTACCGTCGCTATTCTCAATGACATCAACAAAATTCCTTCCAAACAAAAACCTGCAACTGATAAAAGAAAGAAAAAAGAAATACCTGTAGTGCAAGGCTTAATCCACCATTTTCTTCTTGATCAAAGTATAATAGCTGCACAAATCCTAAGCCTATTAGTGAAAGCAATGATGATGCTGTTTTAGGGTATCAACAAATCCTAATCCATTAGTGAAAGCAATGATGATGCTGTGTTAGGATATCATCAAAGAAACAGAATACACCTATTCCTCACATATATTTCAACTGACTGCCAAATATTTTTTTCCAGCAGTATTTAAGAATAAGAAATTTTTGTTTTTCCCTAGTTGGTACTCACCCCCCGCCTCAAGAAATTGTTTGCATCCAAGAGGATTCTAACCAAGAGAATAAGAAATTTCACTCATAGAAAATTGAAATTTAAAAGGTTTAGATAAGAATAGAAAGAAAAAGGACCAATTTATGAGCAGTTTTTTTTTCCTAGTTGGTACTCACACACACATGCCTCCACCAAGGTTCAAAACCCTTACCTCCCTTTGGAAAGTAGGAGTCTGATACCGCTAGGCCACTGGCCTGTTGGTAATTTATGAGCAATTGTGAAAGTAAGATGTAAATATCAATTTAGATCGATGCCAATACACGTCCAAGCAGTCAAAATATATCTCTTTTGGCATAAAGCCACAACCCAACAAGACTACAACCGACAATAGTACAAAAGAATATAAGGCCAAAGTTCAAACATTTACTTGTCGCATGGTAAAAGGTAGAGGAACATACAATGCCAATACATGTCCAACGAGTCAAAATATATCAACCCTAGAAGGCTACAACTGACAATAGTAAAAAGAATAGATGGCCAAAGTTCAAACATTGCATGGTAAAAGGCAGAGTTCTTAAAAGCAGCATTGTAGCAACTTTCATGCAAGCTAAAACAGTAAATGCTAGCACCATTTTGTACTTGAGTTTTGACACAAAACAATCAAGTTCTGAGGCACGACATCAATCAGGTTATCATAGCCAGGAACTTTACTCACATTTACATGTGAAATTCTGACACGAGTAACTAAACAGTGAATCATGCCTATTGCAGAGAATCAGACTAGTCAACTTACTTGCCTCACAAATAAATTTTTCTAAAAGTTTCTGAAAAAAAAACCTTCCAGAACATAAATCATATTTATAAGTTTATACCTTCATAATCCCCACCCCCCCCCCCCCCCCCCCCCCCTCCCCCTTCCAAAACAAATATATATATATATATATATATATATATATATATATATAGATATATATATATATATTGAAGAGCAAAACACAATGTTTTTTATGCTTCTGCGTATTTGACCAGAAGTAACCAATTTCAGTTTGCTCCAAGACAAATATCAATTTTTAAAAGTATGAAACAAATACAAAAAGAAACTAAGACAAGCTTCACATACATTGAAGTCTAGAGCAGCAAGAAGCGTAATTAATATGCAGAAAACTACAAATTCACAAGCAGAAACTAATAACTTGCACAAACCTTGAATTTGCTTTTGTCTGATGATTGCACCCGGCACACAAAGCCAGCCTGTGCTTCTTCCTCTGTTATTCTGACAGAATAGAAGTGGGCACTTTGCTTTTCAACCTTTTAAATGATGCCACAGATCCATATGAGCATACTGCATCAACAAAATACAATCTAACACATTAATTACAATTCCTTACCTTTCTGAACACAGGTTGCCCCAGTGGAAGTGGTCGAACAGTTACCATGCCATTCAGTGCCTCCTCCAAGACAGTTGCAGATACAGTGGTTTTGATTGGCACGCCAAGTTTACTAAATTAGGATACAATAAGTACAGAAAACCCTATTGAGTAATGGCATAAGGGCTCGTAAATACAGTGAAAATCAAGCAACATGCAGAAAAAAATAATAATAAATAAATGCAGGATAAGAAGAAGTCATACATGGACTTACCTAAAAAGTGCTGCAAACATGGTATTCACAGCTCCCAAACTTGAAAGATCTAGCTCCAACTCTTGGCTTTCTGATTCAACAGCCTGGGCAATGGACAATGAAGTATCTTTTAGCACCAAAACTTCAAATTAACCCCAAGAATAAAATTGGCTGAAGCAAATATTAAATTAGAACTAATTTTGAACGAATGTAATAACTGAATCCCTGAACTAATTCATAAACTAGGGCATAAACAAAGCTTCTTCTGATGTAATCTAAGAGGACCCCTGAAATTCAAGCATTCAACAATAAGACAACTTCCTAAACACCTTACCTCAAAACCAGCCGTGTCAAATTGGCGCCGTTTGTCAGGATCAGACAAAATGTTATATGAAAAAGTAGCCTCCTTAAACATATCAGCTGCTTTAGGGTCATTTGCATTTTTGTCAGGATGGTACCTGAAATTGTACAATATTAGCATCATTAACAATTTAACTGGGAGAAGAAGGGAATATCTTTGAAAAAATGTAGGATGTGCCAGTTCAATCTAATAACTAACAATGCACATGGATACAAAATTGTAAGCTCATGACACTTGTTTGTGCCTTCAGTTCTGCTCATGCTCTATATATGCCACTATTTCTGTATTGGTAAAGTTAATCGATGTGCTTCAGTCAAAAACTAATTGCTTCCTGGAATCTTATGTAAACTATGTTGAAAGACATATGAACCCTCATTTATTTATATTTTTGATTAAATTTGTCAGACAAGAAATTATAGAGGCTAACCACAAATGAGCTTACAGGGAAGACAATAAATAGATGATGCATCTACCCTGTCCCAGATTGCTCTAGGCCCAATATAAAATACCAAATGTTATTCTCCATCTAATAAGGTCAACAAAATAAATTTTCATCCATTATACTAACTGATTACAAATTATCATTCAATAAACTTAAAATTAAATCCCTTCTTAGTAATAGTAGGCTTATTAAGTCATCTTCACTCTGCTCCTACCTCTTCAACAGCTTCATCTGGCACAAGCACACACCTCCTATGTATAGGCACAAACAAGATTATCTTCCTAGTAAATATCTAAATTAATAATGTCAAAGCTAGTCGAGCTCTCTTCCAACACTCGGCAGTCGGCAAGCAGATGCAAGGCACTTTCTTCCAATATCATGTATGTTTATTCAATCCAAAACAAATATATAGACATGGAAAAGTATTCTGACAACTGTATTCATGCATTTAGATCACAGACTGTTTCAAGTTTATTTTCCATTGAGATTCTGTATAGTTGAGTTCACCATATCAAATTTTCAAATATCAACTTTTTCCATCATTAAACTACATCTTAGTTAAATTAATCCGCTCAACTTTGAGAAAACCAAAAAAAAACAAAAAAAAAATTCCAAATAAGAGTATCGGAGGGAAGAAACTCTAATCTAACTACGTCAGAACAATGCTAAAATCCAATAGGCATCGAAAGCCTAAACCCATTTACCAACACTGATCTATCCAATGACATGACAAACATAGCTCACTCCAAAAAAAATAATAAATAAATAAATCAAACTTTAAAACGTGACCATATCAATCATGAATTTGAAGTTAGCAAACATTAGAAGAGAAAATTTTCCATACTTGAGAGCCATTTTTCGATAAGCACTCTTGATTTCTTGATCTGTTGAGTTCCGTGAGACTCCAAGAACCTCGTAGGGGTCTCTCCTAAGCTGCTTCGCCGCATCGTTCTTCTCCGATTTCGACCTGTGGGCCGGCATTTCGCTCAAAAAAACCCGGCCTGCTTGTTCACGAAAACCCTAGAATTGACGCAAATTGAATGAAATTACCCACAAATTCACAAATCTGATATCAAAATCCGTCTCGACAAATCATTTTTGCAGAAAATTTCCCGGGAAGTGGGAGTTCGGAGAAGCTAATAGCAATTGAAAACCCTAACGAGGAGAGAGTCCATACAAACTCCAAGCTGGAGCTTTGGTGGAGAACATGTAGAGAGAGAAATTAGAGAGAGGAGAGAGAAAGAAAACAAGAGGGCGAGAAATTGGAGGGGAAATTAGGTGTCATTTTAATACTAACTAAACTAATACGTCTTCGAAAATTCAAACTTAATGCGCTTTTTGTTACCATACGCACTTGGCGTACATTACGCATGTAAAATATAATACGGAGTTTATTCTATATATAATATATAGGAATATATATTAACGAATAATCAATTTAGCCGCTAAACTATTTTGACAGATAACATTTACTCCCTCTATCTATGATTTTTTTATGTTTTATTGTATCATCAGTGAATGAATTATTAAATTTATCCCGCTGAGTCCACATATAATTTATTTTTATACGTGAAATGCAAAAAATTTAAATTAATAATATTATAAAAAATAATACATTAACTTTTTAAATGAGACATATTTTGGGACATATAAAAAAGAAAATGTGAACACTTATTTTGAGACATTATTTAAGTTGGAGTTTTCTTACAATTTATAATAATTAAATTCAAGACGTGCAAGACTTATAAATCAGTTAACTACACATCATTTAAGCTTTAATATTTTTTAAAAATTGAACCCAAAACATTATTCATAAAGCATTAAATTCTAGATGTGCTTAGGGGCAGAGCCAGTATAGGCCCAGGGGGCATGGCCCCCCTGACCCATGCCCCCCGGGCCCATGCTAGCCCATTAGTTTTAATTACAAAATGACCTATGATTTATAAAAGTTTTTAAAATGCCCCCTTAAAATAATTTTTTTTTTTAAATGGCCATTAATTTTTATTACACATAGACCAAGAATTTATAAAAAAAGGTGAAAATTGTCCCCTGAAATAATTATTGACCCTTGGACCAATTAATTTTTATTACAAATAGGCCTATAATTTATAAAATTTTACAAAATGCCCACTAAAATAATTATTTTTTTAAAATATCTTTAATATTTCATTTCTTTTCATTCTTACACCTCCTCATCTTCTTCTTCTTCTTTCTTTTTTTATATTCTCTTTAAAAAAAAAAAAAAAGTTGCATTCCTTTATTTAAATAATTTTTTTTCTCTCATCCAAGTTTGGTAATTAAATTTGTTGTTAAAATGACTTTTAGGACCTGTTTGGTGTTTGTTTTACCATGTTCTAACTTATTCCGAAAATGCTGCAGTACCACTATTCTGGCCCAAAACATGTTCGGCATGACCTGTAGTGTTTTCAAGAGTGTAAGAACATTTTGGAATAATAAGGTCAGTATTTTATGTTTCCATTTTTTTAAAATAATTATTTTTTAAATTATTAAATGTTATTATTACAATTTTATTTATTAGCTTGAAAAAATATACTTTATCATCTTTAATACGACGTCCCCTGAAATAAATTTCTGACTCCGTCCTTGAACGTGCAAGACCCGCAAACTGCACATCATCTTAATATTTTTTAGAATCGAACCCAAACAACCAACATTACTCATAAAGCATTAATTCAAGACGTGCAAAATTTTCTTTTTCTTATAAAAATCTTTGTATTATATGACCTTTCACTTGTACCAGTTTCATAATACTGATAAAAAGTGCAAGACTTGCGAACCACAATTTATTTAAATTTGAATATTTTTGAAAATCGAACCCAAGACATTGTTGATGAGGGCCTAAGTGGTCTTTTATGATTCGGCAAGCAATTTGCTGATAGTTTGGAGGCACGTGCTGAATCGCGTGCCATAGAATAATGGCCACTAGTTAAGTACTAGTAGAAAAATAGGGTGTGTAGTGCGCACTAGGCGTATGGAAGAGTGTGTGTATATATATACACACGTGTGAGAAAAGAAGGAAGGCAACTTAAAATAAAAGGAAAATTGAAAAAAAATAGTGATGGGCCCAGGGTAGGACCTGATCATTGATCATACCCATAATCAGTGGTTAAAAGATACATTCATATCACAATCAATGGGGAGGGTCTGACTAAGAAACTTGACCCACAAAAAACATTGATGAGATAATTATGTTTTTTAATGATCTGATACTATTTAATTATTTTCTCAATGTCTTTTCTGGTAATTATTATGGTACATAGATAGATGATCATGACCAATTATGTTTTTTAATAATCTGGTAAGCTTGCTCATTAGTTTTTTTTTTTTTTTTTAACCGATGATGATTGTGTGAAGCTTCTTAAAATACTTTATAATTTATTATCGAGCTATTGCATATTACAGTCCCCTAGTTTTTATTATTTATTTTTTTATCCTCGCAAACTAGTAGAAGGAAATTCGAACACGGACACACCCGCGGAGAGTTGGGCGTTCCATCAATTTTTTTTCTTTTTCGTTGCAATGCAAGAAGTGTGAGATGTTAGATGTTAGATGCTAGATGCAAGGGGTTGAAGTCTTGTACTCCAGACATGATCCGATCCGAATCCAATAAACATTTTACTCGATCCAATTCGACTAATCCGATTTTTTAATATACGAATATTCGATCCAATAATCCGATCCGATATAAATGTAAATTTTTTTATAAATAAAAAAAGAAATATATATAAATTAATGTCAGAAGAGAATTAAAAAAAAAAAAAAAAAACAATGATTAGAAGAAAAAGATATAAAATAAAATATAAGTAAAATATGAAAGGAAATTTTTTTTTTTTTTTTACTCTTTGTTAATGAATAAACAATATGATATTATTAGTATGTATGTTCGAAGATTTATTAGTACATGGATGAGAACAACACATTATTGTATATATAATATTATATTTATATATAATATTATATTTATATATATATATATATATATATATATATATATATATTTGTTTTGGTATTTTGGATTACCTCTAATACAAATCTGATAGGAATCGGATCGGATTATTATCGGATCGGATCAATATAGTTCATATCCGATTTGTTAGGCTAAAAGATTATCGAATTTAGATCGTAATAAGGTTATCAAATTTTTTGTTCAATTTATATCGGACTAATCCTGGTCGACGAACTGATCATCAAGCAGTCGTTCGGTATCCGCTCCACTGACAGGTCAATTCCAAGATTCACGTGAAGCACTAATTTACTGGGCTATCGAGACAATTGCAATATTCTATCAATTAGACCATTGTGTTAAAAATAAATAAATAAATAAAATAAAATAAATAAATAAATAACAAACTAGACTATTGAATAATGTACTCATAGGATTGAGAAGCATGTTATTATCTTGACAAGAGCTTGTGTAAAAAATGTTCTCATAATATATATATATATATATATATATATATATATATAAGGCAAACCTTACATTAAGGTTTGCCTAGCTTACATATCTAACAAGGTAAAGGAAGAAACAAATATAAAGTAAGTTTTTTTCTCAGTTGGTGAGCACGAAAGAGGGAGAAAAATTAAATCAAACACACCTACATAGACATTTCAGTTGGACAACGAGTGTTTTTTTACTTTTTGACCTCCATTGTTATCATCATATTGTAGTTGAAAATAGTAGTGAAGTTAAAATGAATGAAGAGGCAACGACAATCTAGTGTTTTGTCATATGTTTATTGAGAAGATTCCATCCTTTTCACCTGTACTAATCATTGACATAGAAGAAATCTATTCCAGTGCTACCAGTCAAAATTATAAAAAAAAAAATAATAAGAAAACTAAAGACCTATTTGGCAATCTTTTTATTTTGTGTTTTTATGTTAAGGGTGATGTTCCTTAGTAAAACAAATGCAATTGCATTGATATTTCAGTAAATCAGTGTCTTTCATTGATTTTGAAGTCTCATATTTCGATCCTCTCAACTACCAATCTAATATCTAATACTTCTTATCTTGAAAAAGAAAAAAAAAGTATGACAAATGTGTTTGGTAACTTTACATTGCGATTTGAACAGTTACACGTGTTGTCGAAAAAGTGCCCAAATAAAAAACAGTTTCGGTAAAGTTTTTTTAAATTTTTCGTACTAGGGTGAACAACATAATAACAATAATTAAAAAAAAAACACTAGTGACCTTTATTTAATTTGCCATTTTGGGCCTCTTGATTTGTAACTTTGAAAATAATTTTGAGAACACAAACATTTATATGAAGACAAACATTTTTATAACTGAGTTTTTAAAAAACTGAATCAAGATAAGTTTTTGTATAATTTTTTGATTTTCAGTTCTTTGATTGTTTTAGAATTACAAAGCAAGCATGATATTTATATTTCAATATTGCAATACTTCTTACTAAACATATTTTCATATTTTTGTTTTAAAAAATCTTACGTACAAAAATGTAAAATTAGAAAGGGTTGCCAAACAAGCCCTAAGGGTATATGTTGACCTTCCAAAGTGGGAAGATCTAAAAATCAAAAACCTTTTGGGACAAAATAGAAAGGTTTATAAATTTAATTTTCAATATAATTAAGTAAGAGAGATATAATGTGAAAAAAAAAAAAAAAAAAAAAAAAAAAAAAAAAAACCAATCCTCTCTCCCTTGGATTGGATTGATGTGGATAAAACTGGACAATGACCAAAAACACCACCAAGTACCAAAACCAAAAACTTTATCACATAATCCAACTCAAACAAACCATGATGTGTGTCTTTATTTATTACTACATTAAATTAGTTTTCTTCTCTCTAAGAAAATGACAATCTTCCTTATAAAAGAGCTAGTAACTTCACCTTAAAGATCGGTGGACAGGAAGGGTACTTTGCACCTAATCAAGCACTAAGTTACTCACTTGTTTGTATTTTTATTTACATTAAAGAGACAAAGATGTCACTCCACATATGTCCTCCACTTCACTTGACTTGTTGCTGAATTTTAGATATGCCCACCATTATATGTATCGATGAATCTTTCTTCCTTCAGTGTCGGTTTGAGAATGACATGGTTGTTGAATCACTTGAAACGTTTTTTTTTTAATATATATATTTTTAAACGTGATTTGGTAATTATTAAAAATATTTAAGGTTTTTTTTGCTGAGACATTTTTATCATTTTATTTAATTTTTTTATAAAGACAATTTATTACTTTCTTGTATCAAGTCATGCAACTTAGGTTGGACAACCAAAACTCAACCCGAGT